ACCGATGGCAGCAAAATAATAAAGCGTACATCACACTACGCTGAGCTGCTTACCTATCGATGATTAGGTGGAGAACAAGACTGTATCTTTACCGTCTTTCATGTTAGAGAGAAAGAGTATATTTTCAACGTTTTGCTCGAGTTTATGTGAGTGCGCTTTACGTTTTGCATTTATTTCATCGAATTTATCTATGAGTGCGTCGATACTCTGCGCCAAAGCTCCCTTTACATTTGTTTTAGCTGAGACCATTTTCCCAACCAAATCACCGCCAAAAGTTCCGACCAAAGCTCCAACGAGGCCACCAACGACTGGAATAGGAATCACAATTTGGCCTACGATCATACCAACAATAATTCCATTAATTCGACAAAGACCCAAAATCACTCTGTCGACCACTTCTGCGATGAACTCCTTTCTTGTTTTAATTAATAGTCCATCTCTCCATTTCTTGTACTCCTTACGAATGTCCCAAATTGCCATAATAGTTTCGGCGACCACGGTCGTTGCTGCCCCAACACTGATTCCGAGCTTCGGTAGAGCATTTCCCACAGCCTTTCGGGCTGTAGCTGCTGCAAAATCGTCCCAAAGTTCGGCAGCCACCTTCGGTAGCTGTTTAATCGATTGAAAAAGTGCTCTTATTGCGGCACTAAATGTCTCACCACGGGCTTTTAAGGTTGAGGTCACTTGTAAGCTGATGTTTAGGTCACACAAACACCACATAACAAACGATTCACAGTTGTTCTTCATCAGATGGAAGTCATTCTCGCCTAACCTTCTACGAGCCCTTGCAATCTCTTCTTCTGTGGAGTATCGTCTCAGTTCCTCTGGCCATACAACCCTTTCTACTTCGACTCCGTTCAACAGCTCCGTCGTCTTTGGATCGGAATATAGATACCCTGGAGCTAGCTCGTGCAGACATCTAAACATCATGGTGGCTTTATGGATTTCCTGCTGGCGTGCAAGATTTTTCATCCTAAAAACTCGAGTAGCTCAGTTGCATCAGCATAATAGTTAGAGAATGTCAACACACGGGCTGCTCTATTCTGCAATTTCTTCAGTTTGTCTCGTAGCGTTTTCCCACAGCTACCCCAAACAGTGTCACAGTAAGCAAAGTGAGGTTTTACTAAAGTTTGGTAAATGAGATGTAAGGTTGATGCTGGGATCAGGTGCCTAATTCGCTCTAGGGCCTCGATACCAGAGGCGACTTTTTTGGTTAGTTTTTCGATGTGACTATGCCAATCGAGTTTATCGTCTATTATTACACCAAGCGATAGTCAAAGATACTCTAAAGATAGTCTTAAACTTCCCAAGGACAATAGGGCAATTCATTTTATCGGAAATTAAACTTAAACAGGGACCACAGAAAGAAATGCACTCCTTCTAATAAATCTTCTCCTCGCCACCCTCTACCAACCTAGTTCCCAGGGCATTTTTCCTTAGCGAGGTTGAACCTCTCCTCCCCCTTTTTTGGGGTGCCCAGAACTATAAATAAGCGCTTGGCGCCTGTTTAAGGGATATACGCTAGTATGCAACACGAACCCACATGCAACCGGCAGGATTAAGCAGTTGTTTTGAAATGTGTCGTGTTTGCCCAAAAATATATGAATATTAAAGATAAGCTCAGTTAGAAGTCAATTAAACAAAACAAGGGAAAAGTCCCTCGTTCGGGTCTCACAATAATGAAAGTATGGTAAAATTCCTTTAGTAGTAGTTCAACAAAGGATTTTACCCCACTGCAGAACTCTTCGATACCAGGTGTCAGTCGTATTAGATTGCGGCAAACCTCTCTTATTATTAAGAGGAAAGGGAGAAGGGTACAGTGGAACGTCGATTTAACAAAGTGCCTTGGGACTGGGGCAATTGATTCGTTATACCGAGGACTTCGAGGTTCGTTAAGTCGAGGTTCCACTGTATTTAAATACAGCTCCGGGTTTTAAAGTTAGTCAGTAGTTCTTTGGTCTTCGATCCAGTAGATATTGTCCCCAGCCGTACAAAGAACACAGATCCGAAGGCAGTTTTCAAGTTCTGGCACTAGCGTAGATGTAGTGAAATGTCTAAAGACTTAAGGAAATGTATTGATGGAATTAAAGACATCGCAGACGAAGAGGCCATTTCTCAGTCGGTTTCTTTGCTGCCGAGAGCCAATCCATAGATTTACAGACATTAGATTAGGACACCATTTGGTCCGGAAAGGTTCTACGTTCGGCTTGAATCACTACGAATATCATTTCCTCAGCATAGATTTTGACAATGAAGGCATAGGCGGCCCAAGCTCTCTTTAAGAACCACACAGGGAACACAATTTACATATCGATTTATAAGGATTTGTATGGGATTCTCTACAAGATATCCACGGAGATAGTTAAAAGTGAAAATATTAAATAAAGATTGGTACCTTATTCCATACTTGTGTTGTTTGCTCCTGGTGCCGTTACTTTACCGATTAAGAAGAGAAAACCAGGAATAAAAAAAAAAAAAAACGGTTAAATCAAGTTCAATCGGTAAAAATAACGACACCAGGAGCAAACAACACACGTATGGAAGAGGGTAAGCCATTCACTGAACCGTAAAATAATAATCTAGACTTCAATTATTCAACGCGATGTTTACTTCTATTATTTTTTTATACTTTTAGAATCAATTTTTTTTCTTTTCAGACTTTACATGTAAAAATAGTTAACAATATATGCGAAATCCTACTTCGACAGAAATCTAAGTTTTAGGAGAGATCAAATGTCTTTCGGTACCTATACATATTGACTGAATTTAAATTTGCTTCACCCTTCGTAATTTAGGTGCGTTTTGATGAGTTCGTTCTTCCGTCACATTGTCACATCAGTTACGCCTTTCGTTTCTCCACTCGTTCTTTCGTTGAATAGTCGAGCGCTAGTTCGTTTTTCTCGATCGCCTGTTTTTGGCATCGGCTGTCGGTTTTTTAGCATAACACTTCACGTCTTGAAACTACCATTACGAAAAACGCTAAAGAGATAGCGGTTTGACAAAAATTTCCACCGATGGCAGCAAAATAATAAAGCGTACATCTGTG